ATTTTATTTGAGAGAGACTGTGCAGAGAGAGCACTAGCCAGGGTGGGGAGGGAGAGAGAGATGCAGACTCCCTGCTGAGCAGGAAGCCCAGTGTAGGGCTCAATCCCAGAACCCTGGGATCATGACCCGATCTGAAGTCAGATACTTAACCGATTGAGCCACACAGGCGCCTCTAAAAGTACCTAGTTTTAAAACAGTGAGTTGGTTCTCTGGTATCATCCAACAGTGATTAATTTTGTGTATGTGTTTTGTTTTGTTTAGCATTTCTATGAACTCATGGATTGAAGCAAATGACATTTGTTCCAAGCCATTACAGTTATGTTGTTGATGCTTAAATTCTCTCATTTTTGGCCACATTTTATTATTGTTGTGGTGGCTTCTAAACTGTTAAGATTTTGAGTCTAATCACCAACATATGTACCGAAGGTAATCTACAGTCATGGACTCTGACATTCAGAGGTTTTGAGTGTTGAGAAAGGACTTTTCTCCAATGTTTAAAGCATCCATATCTTAGGTGTGACCTAGGCAGGTGGGTGAGTTACCACTCGTTCCCACTGTGCCTTGTCTCCAGCCACCCTCGTGCATGTGCCATGAGCATGAGGCCTGATGATACCACATCTCAATCAGCACATTCAGCAATGGTGCCAGGTGACAAGGAATTTGGCCAAAGTCGCAGAGCCCAGGCCGTCCCACTACTCCACATAACTGAAACTCTTTCTCCTTCAGGAGGTGTTGGAGTTGGCATTCTCCATCCTCTACGACCCTGATGAGACCTTAAACTTCATCGCACCTAACAAGTATGAGGTGAGCATTGTGGGGCCGCTTTGGACAGCCGAGCCCTCTCTGTGACTCTTCAGCTGGAGGGACAGCCCCCGAAAGAGAGGAGGCCACAGCATGTCACGAAGGCTTTTGGCACTGAGCATCTACCAGGCTGGGGTCCATCCCCCTGAGCTGGGCTCCCCAGGTTACTCTTCAGCAGCAGCTATAAGTTGCCATTAGAAAAACAGGCTCATCAGGGATAATCCAACTTGTCCAGACTAGGGAAATTCCCCCCCTTTTCAGTCTCCGCATGGCCACCTTCCAAGTGACCCTAACAGATTCTCCCTCCTTGGCTCCTGGGCGCATGTGGTAGTAGGACTGGTCCTCCTGACCCGGAGCCTGCCGTTGTACCTGCAGCACTGGGAGATACTGTAAGTTACATGAGTAACTGTGCTGGAGCCCCACGTGTTGAGCTCTGGAAGTGACAGAGGGGACTAGAGGTGGGCTTCTGGAAGGTGAGATGCTTTGGCCAGCCCCAAGATGCCAGTGAGTGCTGTTGGGAAGAAATGAGGAACTAAAAAAAAAAAAAAAAGAAAGAAATGAGGAACTAGCAGGTGGGGAGATGGTGAGCAAAGGCAGGAGGAGTGAGAGGGACAGGTGGAGAATTCTGTTACTCCTCCTTATCACGAGACCCTCAAGTTCAATTTCTCTAGCACTTATTTTTAACATTTGTTGACAGGGCTTTTTGTTTGTTTACTTTTTTGGAAACAAAATTGAGATCCTACAGTGATTCCTTTTGTGCCCTGATTTTTTCTCCTAATATGTATTCCCTCCACTATTGCTTGTGTCATGGGCAGTTTTGGGTTAGTTGATGCTCTAGTCCTTAGGTCTTATTTTGCTGTATTCATTAGTTGCATTTTTAAAAGTCCTATTTCAAAAAAATATCATATTTCAGATTATTTTAGGAACCTTAAATGCAAATCCCTCATAAAAGCCAAAAGATTGTGTTTTTTGGTGGTGGGGGGAAGCGAATGAATTACCTCCCATTTTATCTTTGCCGTTATTCCAAATCAGCTCTGCCTATACTAAGTAGTGCCAAAAGAGACTATTATGAATCCTCCCCACAAAGGGACCTTGGTGGGACCTCCTGTGGACCTGGGGCCACCATGTGATGTTTTGCGGCTTGCTCCCACAGTACTGCATCTGGATTGATGGCCTCAGTGCCCTTCTGGGGAAGGACATGTCCAGCGAGCTGACCAAGAGTGACCTGGATACGCTGCTGAGCATGGAGATGAAGCTGCGGCTCCTGGATCTGGAGAATATCCAGATTCCTGAAGCCCCGCCGCCAGTGCCCAAGGAGCCCAGCAGCTATGACTTTGTCTATCACTATGGCTGAGGCTGGAGCCAGACTCCACGGTACCCAGGAAGGGATTTGGGGCCCAGGAGAAACACCCACAGACTGGTGCCTTGTCTTTTGCTTGTACAGAATCTGTAGTGACCATGGTGGCCAGTAAATGCCAGCCATTCCTCAAACTCACCTCAGACCACCCAGAGCTTCCTCTTGGTCCCTGCCCACGATCAGCCATGCAGGCAGGGTGCTCTGCCCTCCCGGTCACCGTGGAGCCTGGGACCAGAGCGTGAGGAATGGCCAGCAGACCCCCTTGCCTCCCGGGCCAAGGGCTGCTTGGGCTGGAGTTAACAACAGTCACTCACCTTTTCTTCCTGAGCCTGCTCTCCGGTCAGCTGGATCCCTGTGTGGGCAAGAGCTAGCCCAGCAAAGGCTGCCCTCAGAGGACAGACATTCTGGGCATGTTAAGAGCCTCAGAGAGACTGCCTTTGGGTGACCCGTGCCTGTGTCTCAGAGCCAAGCGGAGGCCTCGGCCTTTGCTTGGTAGATGCCTTGCCCTTGCTTTTGTCGCCTTCGTGAGGGCTTACTCCGGCCTCATTCAGTGCCAATAAGCTGCTGCTACTGAGGCTCGGCTCTAACATCTCTGGTCTCCGGAGCCACCAGATCTCTCTTGCCCACACAGTTGTCTGGGCAGATGGAAAGCTCTCCCTGCAAAGCTCTCAGGCTCTCATCCTGGCAAGTCAGACACGTGCAAGCTAAGTTCTACCTTCTAGTCTCAAAGAATTCTACAGGGAGAGAGCCCAGACGAGGCCTGGGCCAAGACTTGGGAGGTCACTGGAGTCCACTCCCTTCCCCCCACATTTTTATCTTTTCCATCCTCAGAAATCTTCCACCTAACCTGAATGGCAGCCACCTCTTCTTTGCTTTCCTTTGGCCTCCCCGACCTCAGGAAGTTTGGCCTTCCCTCCCTGCCCCCATCCCAGTGCTGTGGTTTCTGCCATTGGCCATGATTTCAGGGAGCTAGCTGAGGCCACGGCTGTGCCAAAGGGGCTTCCCTGGTGCTGTGGCACTTGTAAACCACGCCCCAGCCTCTCTCCTTGGACATGTGAACGCAGTGGCATTCAGTATTGGTAGCCTGGCATGGTAGGTACTGCCCGATGAAGAATGGACTATATATTTTCTTTACTATAGGCCATACTTATACAGACGTGTATATATATTTATATAAGATCTACCTATCCTAGGGTGGAATGTTTGAGGGAAAATAAAATTGAAGGCTCCCCCTAAAAAACAAACAAACAAAAAAAAACCACTTCCAGTTGTGAGCCAAGAGAGTAAGCTGAGAGCAGCCAGGAGCAGCTTCCTGTCAGTAACCATGTTTTCAATAAATACTCTTTCATGTACAAACTGTGGTACCTATTAACAGCTGTTTCTCTGTACTTGCTCTTTCACCTGGACAAGCCTTCATTTCAGTGTGTCTGGGAGATTTCCTCCTCTTCAGCCACTCTGCCTTCACTGTGCATGTGCATGTGCTTGAGCAGCACATGCACACACACACACACACACCCCTCAACAATTAAGGACGCTCACAGATTGTTGCACCAGGACAAAGTGTTTTCTGCTTAGGCTTGCCGGGCGCAGCAGGGAATGGCATACTGTACACCCCCGTGAACATATCCTCCCTCTTCTCCCTGCCAGGGACACAGCCAGGGAACAGCTCACATTCTTGTGACTTACAAAGAAGACACGTTTCTTCACCCTGTGTGTTGCTGGTGCTTCATGCCCAGCCTTCCAGCTGGTGTTTTAGGCTGTTGCTCCAAAACTCAGCCCTGGTAGCTGGGAGGCTTGAATGAGGGTGGTGATGAAAATAGACACTTTCTTTTACCTCTGAGAGAGAAGTCTTTCAAAAGGCAGAGAAAGTGCATGCAGTACAGGCCTTGAGAACTGAATTCAGCCAAGACCTTGGGCAGTGGTGGGTGCCATTGTAGGTGCTCAGTAAGTGCCAAACGAATGAACTAATGCCTGCATGTTGCCAGCCTGCGGGGGCGGGGGCAGCAGTGGTTTGCATAATGCACTGCTTACACTCTGGTTCAGAGGGGCCAGGGAGGTCAGCTGAGTCACTCACAAGGATCCAGGTTTGCAGCCAGTGTTAGAAGAGGGCACAGGAGGCACTGGGAAGAGAGCAAAAAATCACTAACTGGACTGGGCCTCCTGCAACCCTCACCTGCTCTGACCTCCTAGTGGCTCATGCGCCAGGCTCCGCTTCTTTTAATCTATCCTGCAAGATCAGTGAGATCTGAATTTCCTAGCTGGCATTTTTGAGACTACTGCAACCCGCCCCGCAGCTACTTTTCCAACCACAGCTTTTGTTAACTCCCCTTATAAACAACTGGGCTTCGAGCCAGGCTGCAGCCTTCTCCTCTCCCCATTTCTTCTGCCCCAGACACTCTCCTCGCCACCCCCACTTATTGAAATTAAGATAATTCTTAGAAAGTTTCAGGCACACAAAATGTCTCACGAAATGTGTATTACCTCCCATGGATCGCCTAAGTCGTAAAATGTAATGCCCCTGACTTATCACTCCCCAGCGGACTTAAGCTCTGGGAAGAAAAAGCCCATGAGAGATTTCTCTCTTGTGGCTCGTTGGTTGCTCCCATAGAAGTAAGCAGATGGCTATTTTCTGTCTGCCCCCGGGTGCGCACGCCTCGGCAGCACGCATGGGGCACCCGAGACAGGCCGTAGAGCGCGAGAGACACAAGGAAGGAAAGTCCAGGGGGTGCTCAGTGCGTGATGAGGGGTCCGCGGCCCCGCCCCCCCAGGGCCCCGCCCCCAGGGCCCCGCCCCCAGGGCCCCGCCCCCGGCGGCTTCAGGCGGAAGTGCCCCCACCCCGCGGCGACGCTCCGCCTCGCACTTCCGGCGGGAGGATCCGGTCCGGAGCGCCCGCGGCCGAGGTGAGTGGGGGCGCGCGGCGGGCCCTGCGCGCGCTCCCGCGGGCGGGGGAGGGCGGGGGAGGGCAGGCCCGGGCCCGGGAGCGGGGTCCCGGCTGGGCTCTGCGCGCCGTGGCACGCCCGGGCTCCCGTCCCCCCCGGGCCCCGGCGTCCGCGCCGTGGACGCGCCGGGGCCTCCACGCACCCTCCCCGGCCGCCTGCCGCGCGCGCTTCCCGGCGCCTCCTGCCCGACCCCGGCGGGTCCCGACCCCGCCCCGAGGCCGCGGCCCGGTGGGGTGGGAGTGCGGGGCGCGCGGTAAACACGTGGGCACACAGGGCCACGTCAGGCGGTGGGAGGTGCCAGGAGGACGGGCAGCCGGCCGTCGGGGAGGCTGCCGCCGAGCCAGGGTCCGCGGAAGAGGGGCGGCCCGTGCAAAGGGCACGGGCTCGGCGGGCCTGGCGGGGGGCCGGGGGCCAGCGTGGCGGGCGCGGGGGCAGGCGTGGGAACGAGATCGCGCCAGAGCGGAGGCCGGGTGCCGGAAGGCCCTTCTCGCAGGCCTGCGGGGCGGGAGGGTTGGGGTTCGCCCTCCCCTGGGGTGTGAGGGCGTGGCCCGCTTTCGGTGCGCGAGCCTTCGCTCCCGCTGCCGGGCGCAGTCCGGGCTCTCCAGGCTCTCGGGGAAGGAGGAAGCAGGGACGCCCGTTAGGAGGCCGCTAGTCCTAGGTGAGGGATGAGCGCGGCCCAGACTGCTGATGGCCGAGCACACGGGGCGACGGGTGGCAGGTCTCCACAAGCAACAAGTTCTGGTTGTCACAGCTTGGGGTGAGGAGGAGGGGCTGCTCCAGGCACCTAGCAGGTAGAGACCAGGATCGCTCCCAGATCTCTTACAATGCACACAGAATCACCTGGCCCCAAATACCAGTAATGCCAAGATTGAGAAACCCAGGTATAGGGAAAGAGTATGGGCCTTAAGGTGCATTAGGCGTCCGCAGGGATCCGGGAGGAGGACCTGACAGGATGGGAGGGAGGGAGGAAGGAAGGAAAGAGCGGTCAGGGATGAGGTCGTCATTCATTTGAGGACGTGGGCTTAAGTAACCTGGTGTCTCATGCTGGCATTTACTAATGACTTTGGACTAAGTTGGGGGCACCTTCAGTGTGAGGTATCATGAGTGGAGCTGCCAAGTAGACTGGAGCGGACAGGAAAGGCTAGGGCTAATGGAAAGAATCTAGAAAGTCCCTGGAATGTCCGATAGATGAGATGAGATCACTCAAGGGAGAATGGAAGGAAGAGAAGGCAGGATCCAGCACTCAGGCAGTCAACTTTGACAGGTTGGTTGAGCAGTGAAGAAGGCCAGGAGCCCAGAAAAGCAGAAGAAAAAGCAAGAGAGCGTGGTGTGGCATCCAAGAGGCTTTCCCAGGAGGAGGAAGTGGTCAGTTGTATAAGGTGCTGATAAAAACAGGGACTTGGTCCTCAGAGGGGCAACAAGGAAGAAGGTGTGGTGACTCCGTGGAGCAGTGGGGAAGTGAGTTTGGGCTGCAGGGAAGTAGGGATGGTAGTTCTGGGGGCCTTGGTGGAGTTTTGCTGTAAGGCAGCAAAAGCCAGGAGGGTATGAGCCCTTGCCACAAGCCAGCATCAAGTGCTGTACCCAACTCCCCTCCCAAGAGGTAGGTGATTCTGTCCTCCTTTACTGTTGAGGAAGCTGAGGCCCAGAGTTCAGGTAGTTCAGGGGTCACAAAGTTGCCAGAGGAGCCAGGACTAGATCCCAGGTCTTTCTTACTCCATGCCCACACTTGAAGCACTAGACGGCTCTGCCCATATTGTAGTCACAGAGAATGAGAGGAGCCAGGTACTACATGGACGGTGCACCAGCTCTACCCTGATGTGGCTGCTGCTCCCAGCCAGGCTGCCCCCTGGGGAACATAATGCAGAATATGGAATTCCTTTCTTGGCAAGCCAGATTTGAAAAAGACCATTAGCCCCTTTAAGCCTGCTTTCCCTAGTCATAAAAGAAGGGTGGGGACCTTATCAGTTATGTATCTCTATTTCCAATGCTGAGTATACAGTAGTGCTTAATAAATGGCCATTGAGTAAAATGGCTAGATGATTTCCAAGAGCCCTTCTAGCTGAGGTCTGATTTTGTGTTTGAGAGTAGGTGGCTGATAATAAGAGAATGAGTGTTAACTTGGAGATAGTGCTCCCTGGGGCCGGGGTTGTCCTAGGGACTTTTTTGGAGGTGAGGTACCTGCATGGGCTGAAGGAAGGGTGGGATTTGAACAAGAGGGCAGGGGGTGGGGGTTGGCACAGATCGCAGTGTTGGAACCGGAACTGCACCAAAAGCAGAAGATGCAAGAGGTTGACTTACGGAAAGGTACAGACTGCCCCATCATGGGCCGGAATCGTAGGGAGCAAGTGCTAGAATGCCCTGTGGTTGCCTGTGTGCTGGAAGCTGTCATTCTCAGCAGGGAGCCCTTTGGCCTCCTATGACATTTGACTGTATCTGGAGACATTTTGGTTGTCACAACTTGGGATGAGGAGGAGGGGCTGCTATAGGCATCTAGTAGGTAGAGACCAGGATTGCTCCTAGATCTCTTACAATGTACATAGAATCACCTGGCCCCAAATATCTGTAATGTCAAGATTGAGAAACCCTGGTATAGGGAAAGAGTATGGGCCTTAAGGTCCATTAGGCGTAGGTTTGGTGCCTGTGCAGCCCCCTCTCTAGCTGTGCAAGCAAGAGCCTGAGGGCGGGAGGTGCAGGGAGAAGTGCAAGAGACTAACCTGATGTGTCGTGCTGGGGAGAGAGGATGGCGGCCTGGAGAGCAGTGGTGGAAGTCAGGAGATGTGACCATATTGGGGATGTTTAAGACTGAAATGAAAATACATGCTGATTGAATGTGGGCTGAGGGAGCAAGGAATCAGGATGGGAACCAGATTTCTGGGCTGAGGAACCAGGCAAATGGAGGTGCCACTGGCAGAAGAGGGGCAGGTTCGGATGGCTCCTGGGAAACAGGAGTCATGCTGGGCAGGCCAGGAGTAAATGCCTGGTACTAGACATCCAGGCATGGAAGGAAGAGTAGGCCACTGGTTGTTCTTCTGGAGTTGACGGGGAGATGTCAACGTAACTGATAATAAAAGGTAATTGAGAATAGAATGTGTTTCTCTCTGTAAGTTCCGGGAACAAGGATGCTGGAGGCCACAGTGAAGTAGTGCATGCTTCCACCACCCAGAAGGAACATGTAGCCACCATGCACAGTGCCACAGCCACATTGTGTGGGCAGCTGCACAACCATGTGTGCCACTGCTGTAGATGGCGTGGTTTCTCCAAACTCTATCAAAGAAAGACACTTCTTTCTCTCCTCCACGTACATGGCAAATGTACTCTTGGAAATTGCAGTGCATAGTAGAACCATGGAAAAACTGCTCTGCATTACATGGAAAACAGTTTGAGCCCCACACTGAGGATAGAATTTACTTAAAAGAAACACACACACACAGTTGGGTTCTACGTTCAGGTCATTATACCTACATGGATTGTCACAGTTACGAAGGCCGCAGAGCAATTCTTAGTTCTGTGGGCTATCGCCCTGCCCTCATAGACCCTCCCCATCACTAACAGCTAGGAGAGATCCCCCAAAACACCCCCACAGGTTTCCAAAGTTCCCCTCAAGAGAACCTCATCCCTACAGTATCCTCCCAGCAAAGCCTTCTGCTAGCTCCCCTTTTGCCTCAGGGGAGGCATTGGAATGGAATTCCAGCGTACAGAATGGAATGAAATTACTCCCTTCCGGAAGGACTGGGGGTGGAGGAAGTAGGTATGTCTGATCAGATGGGTCTAGGAAGGCTTTGGGAAGGAGGTGGCATTTTAGCAGATTGGGAACGTCTCAGACTGGGGGGACACACACGAAGCAGCTGCAGGAGTGATGACTATAGACCTGGGGTCCGCCAGGTCTCAGAGCCCCAGGCCCTGGATGCTCATTAGGGTTGGCTAGATTGATAGGCTGGCCTGGGTTTAGTTTGCCAAGACCTTAAGGCAGACCCCACCTCTAGGGGAGTGGTCTTTAGAGGCTAAGGGCCGGGTCGATATTGGTTTCCCAGTCCATTTTTAATGCCTTAAAGATCAGATCAGTCCCCTGAAAACCGAGTGTCTGCTCTCTCGCACTGAATCATCGAACCATATGGACAGCTCACAGTGTGCCCCAGTGGGCACAAGACTACCCTGAGCGCTGTGGTCCCTGTCTTCCTGGAGCTCACAACCTCCCAGGGGACAGACCCCACACAGATCAGCATGCCCTGCACAGGTACACCAGAAGAAAAGTAGGGGAGCCGTGAGAGCAGCCCCATCAAGGAGTGGTAGTTCCTGAGGAAGTGACAGGTGAACTGAAGCTGAGTAGCATCAGCGGAGAGAGTAATGGAGCCGGGGCGGCGTGTCGGTTCCTTCAGGCAGTAGGGGAGAGCCTGTGTGTGGGGTGAACTGAGGCAGCCCAGGGGAGGGGACGGAAAGCCTGGAACTGAAGCTGGAGAGCCCAGCAGGGACAGATCAGGATGGCTTAGCCGACAGGAAGGCTTTTGGTCTTTATCATAAGAGCACTGGGAGCCACTGAAGGGCTGACATCTGATCTGACATGATCAGATTTACGTTTTTAAAAGGTCACTTTGGCAGCAACTCATGGATAACAGCTTGAGGCGACAGAGTAGACGTGACTGGCGCTCTGTGAGCCCATGCTGGGCTGCACCCCTTCCTGCTACCCCCCCCCCCCCGGCTGTGGTCCGCTTCCTGCGGGCAGGGGTGGGGTGGACCAGTCCTGGGGCAGCCTTTGCTCTGCTGAGCCACCCATGCTTCCTTTCCATTTCTCTAGCCTCCGACCTGGGGACCCGTGAGCCCTGCATCCACTTGATCATGGAGAGAGTTGGCTCGGGCCACCAGCCCCTTAGGTGAGGACTCTGCCTGGGGCTCCGTGGATGATTCCGAATCATGGAGGCGAAGAGGACTCCCCCAGCCAGGAGACCTTGTTGAAAGTCGAGGCCCAGCGTGGGTGGCTCTTCCCACAGCTGTTCAGGGGGAGCTGCCTTCCCCCACTGACCCAGAGCCAGGGAGTTGCAGCTTCCCCGGATGGGGAAGTGGGCCCTTGACGTGGCCTTTGTGTGGAAGGCAGTATTGACTCTGGGGCTGGTCCTCCTCTACTACTGCTTCTCCATCGGCATCACCTTCTACAACAAATGGCTGACGAAGGTAATGGGAGGCCTTGCAGTGCAGGGTCCTGGGTGGGAAGGGGCTGTGGCCATGGCTACAGTGTCCCCTAATATTTATCAACAGGTTGGCCCAGGCTTCAGCTAATCAGACTGGAAGCCAGGCACACTAGTGGTAGGACAGGGCCCAAGAGCCCTGCCACAGCTGGGTTCCCCGCAAATGGGTAGAACAAGGGGAAATCAGGGAAAGGGGAGACACCAAGGGTGAGCTAAAGTAACTTGGGATTAAGGCAGCAGCTGTTTGCCCTGTAGAGAAGTAGTTGAGTACTTTAATAACTGGTCAAGCCACACTGGCCAGCAGTGGCTGTTACCCGGGGAGGGGCTGGAGCAGGAAGCTAACAGGCCTGTGGAAGTGGTGGGGACAGTAAGTACCCTGGTCCCATTGACCCCTGGTCTGCCACCTGCTCTCTGTGTGATCTCCAGAGCTGGAACTAGGAGTCTGTCCTCCCAAGTGATTGCAGCTGGGGGGAAAGCCCCTTGGCTGCTGCAGAGCCCTGCTGAACCACCCGGTTAGCACCACTGCCACCAGACTAAGGTGAGGAGGGAAGGGAAGTGCCAGGCAGGGGCCGCTATAAACCGCGCCCGTCTCTGTGCTTTGGGCTCCGCAGAGCTTCCACTTTCCGCTTTTCATGACGATGCTGCACCTGGCCGTGATCTTCCTGTTCTCTGCCCTGTCCAGGGCACTGGTTCAGTGCTCCAGTCACAGGGCCCGCGTGGTGCTGAGCTGGACGGACTACCTCAGGAGAGTAGCTCCCACAGGTACGGGGCTGGGCAGCGGCCCTGGGCAGGCAGGGGCTGGAGGAGGGTCGCTTGGAAAGCCACAGGAGCCTTGTTGGCACAGAGCAGAGACCCTCTCCTCCTCCCCACTTCATTCCTCTCTGCCTACCTCCCCCAGCCCTACTTCTGCCTTTTGTGTCCTCCCCAGACCCACCACCACACACACACACACACACACACACACACACACACAAAACACATGCTCACACGCGCAGAAAAGGCCTTCGATGCAGCATTGGTCTTGACCATTTACCCCGAGCCCATTCCTGTCCCAGAGGCAGCCGTGAGCAGTCCCTGCCCTCACCTTGTTACAGTGGGATGAGAAGGGGCACCCTGGGACACACGGGGGAAGCAGCTCAGGCCTGGCAGGGAGGGCTTCCCAGAGATCGAGAGTTTAGCGCCTGTGCAGGTCTGCAAGGGAACCGAAAGTGTCGGGGTGCTGGGAACTCGGCACTGGTGAGAAGTAGAAGGAAAGAGCAGGTGGCAGCGACAGACCCTGCGGCAGCAGGGCCCCCACAAGGAGTGTGTCTTATATCCTGAGGGAGGAGAAGCCACTCGGAAGAGTTCCTCATGAAGGATAACAGGATTGGATTAATACCCTCCGGGGACATTCACAATACCCAGCAAGTGGGAAGCACAGAGCCCCGCCGGCCAGGACTGCAGTCCCAGTGCTGGAACAGAACCCCCTCCCTTTTTTGGCCAGGAGTTAACCCTTCAGTTGCTGTGAAAGGAAGGCCCAAGGGCCCGAGAGAAAGCCGGGGTGTTCAGGGCAAAGCAGGGGGCACCGGGGGCCTCGTGGAAGTGTTTGAACAACTGGCACACCCATGCCGGCCTGCCCTGGCTGCGTGGTCCGGTGGGTACCCCTGTCTCCACAGCGCTGGCGACCGCACTTGACGTGGGCTTGTCCAACTGGAGCTTCCTCTACATCACCGTCTCGCTGTGAGTAGCGCCATGCCCAACCCCTCCCTCCAGTTCAGGCGCTCCTCTAACCTCCTCTGAGCACCGGGCCTGGGCCTGCTGCTGCGCCACTCTGTGGGCCTGCCCTTGCTCTCAGCCCTGACTTCCTAACACCCAGCAGCTCCCCAGGAAGCTGACAGCTTTTGCAGTGGACCCAGCTCGGAGGGGTGCTGTGCTTGCCTGCCTGGTGGCCTGGGAGGCCAGAGGCTCAGACAGCCCAGGACAGTCATGCAGGGGAGGAAGGGCCCTGGCCAGCGCCTGGTACACGCAGCTGCACAGAGGGGCAGGTGTGACAGTTGTGTCTCATCTGTGACCCTGTGTTACGGGCGTCCCTGCCTTCTCTCCCTCCTCCCTCTGTCCTTCTTAACCCAGTCTCCATGGAGGGGCAGGCGAATAAGAGGACTCGGTGACCTTGGTGTCCACCCCACAGCCTTTTCTCTCTGGCGATAGAGGCTCCTGCGTCAGAGATTTCTTCCCATTAAAGGTCACGCATCAGCCCAGATGCCTCAGGTCGCCTTCCTTTGGTCTTTCGTACTCAGGTTGCCCAGCTGCCCCCAGGGAAGTCAGAGGTCCCACAGCCTCCTGCCTTCTGCAGCATAGGCCATGAGCACGTCTTCTGGTGGCGGGCCTGAGTCCTGGCCCCCAGCGGTGCATCATGGGTAATCTGTCCTGCAGGTACACGATGACCAAGTCTTCCGCTGTCCTCTTCATCTTGATCTTCTCTCTGATCTTCAAGCTGGAGGAGCTGGTGAGGCCCCAGCACCCCTTGTCCCTCCTACCCCCAGGGATGCTAAGGATAAAAAGGGGTGTCCAAGCAGTGGCTCATCACTATATGTGACAGAGGAGACCAGCCCAGCCTGGCAATAAGTCCTGTTGCTGAGGAAGGACCTAGGACAGGCCACTGCTAAGAATACTTAGCAATCGACGTGGCATCACGACCACAAGAATGAGGGAAAGAGAAAGGGTCAAGGATAGGGGCCAGGAGGAAGGGGGGCTTGGGGGCAGTCACCCTTTGTCTGCTAGGTCCAGGGCACCAGGGGCTCCTCCCAGGGACCTACAGCAGCTATAGGAAAGCACTTCAGAAGTTTAGGTCAAGTAGGAATGCTGGGTACATGTCCACTGAACGTCAGCCCTGCCTGTATGATGGGGAGGAGCTGACCTGGACCCATGAGGTGGCAGGGAGAAGGGTTCCTTGTTCCAGGGTCAGCCAACATAGCTGCCGAGCCCGAGCTCCAGGTGTGAGGAACTCAGGACCCTGTAATCAGTTACCACTGCTCCCCATCCTAATAGCGTGCAGCCCTGGTCCTGGTGGTCCTCCTCATCGCCGGGGGCCTTTTCATGTTCACGTACAAGTCCACACAGTTCAACGTGGAGGGCTTTGCCTTGGTGCTGGGGGCCTCATTCATCGGTGGCATTCGCTGGACCCTCACCCAGATGCTCCTGCAGAAGGCGGAACTTGGTGAGAGAGAGGGGCCCAAGAACCAGGCAGGGTGGGGTCAGGCTGGGCCAGGCCTCATGACTGACCCCTGTCCCCATTCCGCAGGGCTCCAGAACCCCATTGACACCATGTTCCACCTGCAGCCACTTATGTTTCTGGGGCTCTTCCCTCTCTTCGCGGTATTTGAAGGTACGCTGGGTTGTCCATCTTGGGGGTACCCCCCACCCCTGCTCTGAGCCCAGCACCGTGGTAGCTGCAGGGGTTACAGAGATCAAATATGGGTCCATCCATTGGCTGTACCTGGTTTAAGGGCTGGACAGACATTAAACCAAATGACTGGAATCCAGCATGAAAAATGCTTACAAAGAAAGTGTCTATAAAAGACAACAGACCAGGGCAGCCCAGGTGGCTCAGTGGTTTAGCGCAGCCTTCAGCCCAGAGCGTGATCCTGGGGACCCAGGATTGAGTCCCACGTCGGGGTCCCTGCATGGAGCCTGCTTCTCCCTCTGCCTGTGTCTCTGCCTCTCTGTGTGTGTGTGTGTGTGTGTGTGTGTGTGTGTCTCTCATGAATAAATAAAATCTTTTAAAAAAAGACAACAGATGATAAAGAGAGTGGATGTGTACAGCCCAACAGGTATGCCATGGCTCTTCTGATCATTTTCAGCATACCAACTCTCATACTCCCACAAACCCCATATGGCAGTACTGTCATTATGCCCATCGTGCAGGTCAAAGAAACTAGTAGAAGTAAAGATTACCTTGCCCAACAAGCCAGAATTTGGTTCCAGCAACTGGTTCCTGAGTCCTTCCTCTTAACCATGTTGATGTATTCTTTCTCAGAAGGAGCAGAGGGCCAGGAATTATTCCAGGACGCTAGGGTGGAAAGCCAAGTCAAAAAGACTTCCCAGGCCATGTATTTTGTAGGCTAGATGAGCCTTTGCCAGGCTAGCAGGGGCAGGGCATCAGAGGAAGTGGGATGGTGTGTGCGGCCCTGGCCATGGCATAGGAGGCTGGGTAGGAGAGCCACCTGCCCACCATTACCTCCCAGAGAAGAGGAGAGGCGGGGAGAACTGTCTAGGCTGTGAGTGCACGCCACCTTCCTTCCTTCCTCCCTCCCAGGTTTTGAGATTAGTTTTGTCCCTGTTTATCCTTCTTCCCCAAGTCCCTTCCTTCTGTCCTCAGGGTTATTAAAGAGAATGCTGTCCCACATGCATTTAAGTTTCAGGCAGTGAAGCGTCTCCAACCTCCCTGAGAATTATTGTGCAGCCCCGTTGTCCAGGAAGCTTCTGCTCTGCAGCCTCGTTTTCCTCCTTGTTAACATCTCCCCCCTACCCTTACCTTCTGCCCCCTGCACCACACAGCACACTCCCTCCCATCCTGGCCATGGATACCCTTCCCCATCTCTGCACACCCTCAGCCGAAAGCCCCGGTAGTTGTCACTTAGCAAAGCTGCATGGATTTAGCTTCTTTAATCTTTTCTGGTAAATTAATCCCCCAAGCGCCTTCATTACTTATGTTGCTCTTTCCCGAATTCCCTTCAATTTGCCAACGCCTTTGCAGTACTGCTGAGCCCAGCACCAGACAAGGTGTCCTACATTGAGAGGCTGTTTGCCTGGGAGGGACTGTCACTCTGCATTTCTTTGGTGCTTCCCTCCAAAAACCTCCCGAGTGCTCGGCCAGCCTCCAGCCCCCACGGGTGTCTCCGCTGTGCCTAGCTCGGGCCCTTTCCTGCACAGACAGACCCACGGAGTCATTCTCTCCAAGGGATAGTGTTGGAGGGCCAGGAATCCTCTGAAAGTCGAGCCTGACTTGGTGTGTGGGTGCCCACGTGGGTGTCTCTAGAACAAAGCTTTGCCCTATATTTGTATGTGTGCATTTACTTTTTGAGAACCGTTCATCAAGTTATGCTGTCTGTCTGAGAAATGCTGGGCTAGGTGAAACACTCTCATTTATCACCAAGAGGAACAGGCTCCTAAAGGGGGCACATCTCAGCCTAGTCCCACAGCTGTGTGAGGCAAGACCCGGATTAAAGTGGAGAAGGTTTGGGAAGATAAAATGTGGCCCTGTCGATAGATGGCCCACCTGAAATTCAGAGTGAGGGTTTGCCGCAGTGGCCCAGCACACTGACAGCCATCACTCGATGGGCCACCCCGCCTCTCTTTGGCCCACTACTTAACCGCAGCTGCCAAGGCCATGTGAAGTCACCCTCCTTCCCCAAGATGGACAGGTGCTCCTGCCTGATTCTCCATCAGCGCCATGCCCTCTACCCTAGCCCAGAAGCTCTCTGGAGGCCATCACTGCTTCCCCAGCTCCCCAAGTGTCAGGGTTCTCTGCCCCGTCCCATCCCCGTCCTCCGGGCCACAGTGAATGTGCAGGTGTGTTGGGGGTGGGTCACTGCCACATGCTGGGTCTCCTGCTCCCTGGGGAGGGTGAGGCCCCCAACTCTCTACTTTTGCTTTCAGGTCTCCATTTGTCCACGTCTGAGAAGATCTTCCGTTTCCAGGACACAGGGCTGCTCCTGCGGGTACTAGGGAGCCTCTTCCTTGGAGGGATTCTCGCCTTCGGTCTGGGCTTCTCAGAGTTCCTCCTGGTCTCTAGAACCTCCAGCCTCACTCTCTCCATTGCTGGCATTTTTAAGGTGCAGACTTGGGGGCGGCCCCAGTCCTGTCTTACAGTGCATCCCAGCTCCTAAGCCCCAGACCCCAGTAGAGAAGAGACAGAAGTGCCTGATTAGGGTGCTGTGTGCCTTGGTCTTGTCTGAAGCTCCCTCCTATGGTGGCTGCAGCCCTGTGGGGGAGGAGGGGAGTGGTAGTCATCCCTGGTTCACAGATGGGCGGCTCCTACCCAAGGATACAACCAGCAGGTGGCTGAGCTGGGATTCTGACTCCACTGGGCCTGATTGCATTCTCGTTTTTTACCATGAATGCCCGCTCTTGGTCATTTGGCAGTGGCCTGGAGCCATGGGTTGACAAGCCCCATCCAGACTCATTGGGAGAGTTCTGTGATTGATGGGTGATGTCTGCTGTGATCACAGCAAGGGACAATACTAGCATGCGTGCCGCGCCGTGTGTTTGCCTGTTTTGCCTTTACTGTTGCTAGACAGCACACGTGCCTGTGCTCTTAGGCTTCCCCCTCCCCTGCCACCTCTCACCCCATCCTACTCCATGCTCAGGCCCATGGGGGCAGGGAACAGTTTCTCCTTGACTAGACAGGCACTGATGTTGAGCAGTGTTGCCTAAACCCAGAACCGTAAGTCTCCCCAAGGGGCTTAGGAAGAGGCGTGAGCTGTGGTTCTCAGAATGAGTCATCCCACCAGTGCCGTTTGCAGCCACTGTGTATGCAGAACCCTGTGGCCATTGTGTGTCTTGTGGAGCCTGGTGTGATGCTGTATTCTCCTGTGGCAGTGTCGGGCTCTCCATTGTGGGTGCCTTCTAGAAGCACAGCTGTCCGTTACTCCTGTGGACATGGCTGGGGGCTGAACCCCGTGCTCCCTGTCCTGGGTTTGCTTTGCCTTTATAACCCTGACAGAGCAGTGTGCAGAGCACCTCCCTTGCTGCATCTTAGTGCACACAGAGAAAAAAGCAGGCCTGGCCCCCTGAGCTGAGGGAAACCCCCCTGGGCTGCTGGTCCGCCCGCACACCCAAGCCTCAGGGGTTTGGGCAGCTCAGGCTCTCCCTATGGTCATGCCCCTGCTGTCCACCCTCCTTGCAAAGGAGCCAACTCCTCCTCCTGATGACTTCCCCCTTCCTGCCCCTCTGCCCTCAGGAAGTCTGCACTCTACTGCTGGCAGCTCATCTGCTGGGGGATCAGATCAGCCTCCTGAACTGGCTGGGCTTCGCCCTCTGCCTCTCGGGCATATCCCTGCATGTTGCTCTCAAAGCCTTGCACTCTAGAGGTAACCAGAGCCCCCTCCAGAAGCCTCTTTCCTGATGACGCTCTCATTGTGACTCAGCCACTCTGATCTCCCCTCCACCTGGCCCTGGGTCTGCAACCACTCAGCCAAGAAAGGCAGGTGGCCCTCAACTTGCCCAGAGCAGTTCCAGCCAGGTGGCTCTCTGCAGCTGCCTCTGTACTGGCTGCCCCTCCACCAGGAAGTGAGCCTGGTGGTTCTATCTCCAGGGAGAGGGGGGGAGTAGCTAGGGCCCGGGTGACTCAACATACGCATCAAAAGACACCCAGAAAACCACGATTGGGTTGACAACTGGTTTCTCTCTGTCCCTAGGTGATGGTGGCCCTAAACCCTTGAAGGGGCTGGGCTCCCACCCCGACCTACAGCTGCTGCTCCGGAGTAGCCGGCCAGAGGAAGATGACAATGAGGAGGAAGAGGAGGAGGAGGAGTACTTTGTGGCCCAAGGGCAGCAGTGACCAGCCGGAGACCAGCTGGGAACCAGGCTGCTCCCAAGCCTCACACCTCACACCAGCTTAGGGACCCAGGTGGCTCTTCACAACAGCTGGGGAGCAGTGGGCCAGGATTCTCCTGGGCTGGGCCTTGGGGAGCACGTGAACACACAGCCAGGCTCGGTCAGGGAGCTGATGGAACAGAGGGGCTGGGCACCAGACCAGAGCAGGGCCCAGGCCATGCTGGAATCACAGCGAGACAAGGGAACGACTGGTCTCAGCTGCTTGCCAGGCTCTGCCAGCCAAGGTGATTTCCTAGGGCAGAGCAGGAGAGCAGGTTTCTAAGGGGTCTGGGTTTAGACTGCAGCGCAGTTGGGAAGGGGAGATGGAGAGGCTGGAGCCTCATCACCTGGAGAGCGTCTTTTCTCAGAGAGCAGATATATTTATAGTTTGGAAATAAAGGATTTACGGTCCACTGGCCACTTCGTGTTGCCTGGAGGTTTGGGGGGCGCAGGAGGGGGCGGTGTGGGCCATGCTCTCCCCTTCTTTCCCTGCCTAGGGCCTTCTTCAGATGACTGGTCAGACTCAGCTTCCTGCACCTCTTGGGTTCCTGTTTGAGCCCCAGTGCCCTCTCGCTCACCCGCAGGCAGGAAGAAAATGGGTATGGAGCACCGTTCTGGGGCTTTTAGTGCTTTCACAGCCTGGATTTGAGTTCTGTCACTTACTAGTTGTGTGACCTTAAGCAAATTACTTAACTTCTCTCTACCACAGTATTTGTATCTGTGAAATGGGAATAATCTCAGTTGTTCGGAACATGGAGTCAATATGGGTAACAGGTTCAATTATATATAAGTGTTTGCAAATCATTTCAACAAGCGTGGAACCAGACCCTAAATGAGTGACGGAACTAGGATTCACATTCACATTCACATCTGTGTGCCAACCTAGGCCCGTGGAGCACAGGTGGAATGGCTTACAGGCCTCTGGGCCCTGAGCTTTCTGTTCACCTACCTTGGACCGGCCACGAGCCCCTCTACCTGCAGTCTTTATAAAATGGGAAGGCTGGGCTGAGATCCTGGCTCTGAGGTGCCAGGATTCTTGAAGCCTGGCCTGCTCCTGCTCCTGCTCCTGCAAGCTGGCTCCCCGCTGACTCCCCCGTGGGAGGCCAAGTACTCCCAGGCAGAAGTGCTTTTAGGCACTCACAGCAGGTGGCGCCATTGCACCACGTGGTGCCCCGGGCACCCCCTCGGCCAGCCAGCCCTCACGCTACAAATCCAGGCTGGGGTCCTTGGAAGAGGACTGTGGAGTCTTAAGGTGGGGACCAGGGTGGGGCTTGTTATGAACTGTTCTAATCACATCGGAGCCACAAAAGCTCACTCTGTTAAGCCTAGGAAAATAGTTCTACTTTAGAAACAGGTCAACAAACTTCTGTAAAGGGCCGGATGGTCCCTGTCGGCCCTCCCCTCATAGCAGGAAGGCACACAGGCACAAAAGGGCATGGCTCTCTTCCATGGAAACCTTACTTACAAAAACAGGATTCTGCTTGCAGGCTCTAGTGCCAACCCCTGCTGTGGAAGAACCTTAAGAATGATTGAGACCCACTCGCAGTCTTCCAGCGGGAGAAACCGAGGCCTAGGAGGGGGACTGACTAGCCTGAGGACCCCAGATCTCCAGGCTCAGGAGGAATTAGAGCGAGATCTGTGTCACAATGCAGACAGACTTCCCTTTGAGAATGGAGGTTAGACACCAAGGGCTCCCCTGAGGTGGGGCCTTATCTTTGCCTGCACCTCTGCCCCCCCCTTGGATTTTTCCAGCTCAGAGGCCAGGATTAGAGGAAGCTCATGTGCTCCACACGCTCCACACCGGAGGACGGAGGACGTGGGGAGAGCCAGCAAAGAGGAGGGGCCGGGGCCTCCTGCCTCTGCCAGAGAGGCTGCTCCTGGGCGGGAGAGCCTGCCACAGCCCCGCAGGCTCAGGTGGATGAGAGCTTCCTGTCTGCTCCCCCCACCGTCCCCCCCTCTCCCCGCACACGGAGTAAGCACTGCTGTCTGGTGCAGTAATTACAGGGTGCAGAGCCAGGCCCGCACCGCCCGCATATTGGGTTCAATGACAGCCCCTCACTTAGCAGCAATTACCAGCTGAGCCTGGAGGAGGCCCCCTCCTCCTCCCCCACCCAGCCCACCCAATCCCCTGGCCTCCCAGGCCAGACAGTGGCCACTCTGGGCTGCGAGCCCCAGAAGCACCCATGCTATCTGCAGCCATTGCATCTCACGGCTGCAGCGTCACCATGGCAACTTGGTGCTTGCACAGGTTGAGGGAAGCTGAGGATGTGACTTGTCTCTCTAAGGCTGTGGCGTCTGTCCCCACGCAGCCTCCCAACTCTGGGGCTTCTGCAGAGGAGGGAGGAAGGAGGGCTGACCTGCAGGTTCAAGTTTTAAGTGCTTACATGCCCACCGTCTCTCCCAGGGCCTGCAGTAGAAAGAAGGTTAATGCCCCTGATATATGAGGATGTCTGCAGTTGGGGTCAAGGTGTGGAGGAGAAACCGCTGGGTCTGCCTGTGGGGGAGACCCGAGACAGGAGCAGGACCGAAATGCCTTCCTCTTCATTCTGGTAGCCTTCTCTGCTTGGGCTTGTGGGGGCTACCCCCATCTGGTTCTGCTCCTTGCTACTAAGAAAAACCTGAAAATCCCAGTGGCTGGAGAGTGGAGTCTCTTGGCACCAAGAGAATTGTCTTTGTGGTACTTGCTTTCTGTGTTGAGGAAATGTTAATGTTGGGCTCAGAGGAGTCCCAATCCCCAATCTATAATCCAGAGGACAGGGCAGCCCAGGTGGCTCAGTGGTTTAGCGCCGCCTTCAGCCCAGGGCATGATCTTGGAGACCTGGGATCGAGTCCCATGTCATGCTCCCTGCATGGAGCCTGCTTCTCTCTCTGCCTGTGTCTCTGACTCACTGTGTGTGTGTATTCTTATGAATAAATAAATAAAATATTTTTTAAAAATCCAGAGGACAGGGTGGGGACTCCCAGGCCATCCATTTGGGTGGACAAAATGGACCACTCAGCGACCACTGGCCACGTGCTGGACGCTGTGCTGGACGTGGGTTAGGGATGGGTGTCCTTGGAGAGAGAGTAAACCGGGCCCTCTCTCCCCTCAGCCCCAGGGAAGTGTGGAGGCAGGGGCCAAGGGATCTGGGGAAGAGATCAGAATGCACATTCCCTGGCCTCCCCAACTCCAGGTTATCTGTCCCCAACAACCCAGCGCAGTAGGGATGGATTGTACCTGTTTCAGAGCTGTGGGAACTAAGCTCGTGGAGGTTAAGCACCTCAATGACACAGAGCAGCTTCTGGACCCCACCAGACTTGGATTTTCCTCTCCTCTAGGCCCTGTGATGAGATATGTGTCTTGGGTGTGTTGCTGATCCCCTCTGGGCCTGTCTCCTTGTCTGTTAAGAAGGAATAGTAATAATCCAGATCTCTGAACGAAGCTATTGTGTAGATGAAATAGACTCACATACGTAAAACAGCATAGCACTGGGGACATAGTGACCATGCAGCAGATGTCAGTGTCCAGGGTTTAACATCACTTGCCAGGTGATGAAGCAAGGGAGAGGCGCCAGCACTGGAGCCCAGGCCCTTCAAACCATCCTGCCTACGATGCCCAGCACAGTGGAGACACTTAGATATTTGATCTGTGAAGGAATTTCCAAGAGTGGAAATTAAAGTGCGGATTTTCCAGGTTTTGGGGACCTCAGTCTACTAAATGATTCCCCCTGCAAAAAAAGGCTGCCCGCTCCCCATCCCCAGCCAGCACCACCCATTCCTGCTGTCCCCCAGCCTCCCAGCCATCCCCTTGAGCCTTCACCCTAACCACGCAGCCCTGACATCAACCAGGGCCCTTTGCCCCTGCTTTGTAGCAACCAATTAGCTTGACTTCTGTTCCCATGGTTATTTACAGCTTCGTTGGCAACTAGTACATTTCCCAGAAACAGGCCCACAGTGCTGGTCCCCCTGGCATCATCCCTCTGGCAGGACTGCCCCTTTCTCCTGGGTGTCTGATGAGGACTCTCCTGCTGGGACAACAGAGGGACAGACCAGAGAACCAAGAGGAAATGCACTAAGATGTATCAAGTAACTGTTCCTAGGGCGTCCACCATGCCCTCTGCCCAGTGAGAACTGCTAGAAGTACAGAAGTCATTAAGACACGGTTGCTGTCCTCAGTGAACTTCTGCAGGGCTTTTTAATCCACTGGGTTCCCTGGGAAATAGAGCTGGAGATCAGTGTGGAGGACCTTGTTTAGAAAGTGCTCTGGGTGGGGGGGGAACACCTGCAGAGGGGAGGAGAAGGAGATGGGTTTGGGCAGGGGGAGGAGTCCAGCTACGAGAAGGTCCTGACAGAGAGCTCTGGAGAGGGGATAGCGCTTCAGACTCATCCCACGTTGGGGTGAGAGATTTGGACCTTTGCACTTCCACATTGATCGGTCACTGGCAGTGGGCCTACCCTGAAAGAAGGCATGGCTTTGGGTGAGGCAGTTGCCTTCCAATTTAGACAATCTCCAAAGAGGGCTGACTCTTGAGAGCTATCTTCCAGCCAAGATCCCAGTGGCTGGGGCAATCAGTCTTTCAATCCCAGAGATCTGAGCAGCCCTTCATAGCATCCATCACTGCGAGGGCCATAGCCTGACTTCAGCTGACTTCAGAGATGACCAGAAATCTTTGAAGAGGGAAGCAACATCACATGTATGTGCATATATGCATTTTTCTGGGGGAGTCTCTTTGACCTCCAAAAGAATAAGAACTACTAGTCTTGGGAAAGTCAAGCATATGCAAAACTTTAAAACAACATAATCGGAGATGCAAACTATAGGTTCTCAATAAATAGGAATGGGTGGATTGATGGATGGATGGATGATGGTTGGATGGATGGATGGACGGATGGTGAATGGATGGATAGGTAGATGGATGGATGGGTAGGTGGATGGATGGATGCCATAATAGAGAATGTATGGGAGGGACAGAAAGGGGAGCGACCAATTCTGCATGGGGCAGGAGGAGAGCAAAGATTCTCAGGAGGAGCTGACCCTTTTGAACAGAGTCTTGAAGTCTAGGAGTTGCCAAGCTGACAAAAGGAGAAAGGCTATCAGGCAAGGGAAAGAGCAGATGCAAAGACACAGAGGTATGAATGATTTCCTTCCCTCTTGCGTCCACCACTAGGGGGTCCAGGTTATTAGCCACCCATTTTCCAGATGAGAAACAAGCTCTGAGAGGCCAGGTGACTTGCCCAAGGTCACTCACCTAGCTCCTCATCACAGCAAGGAGCCACGCCCACTGGGACTCACACCTCCCAGGGCCGGCTGTCCACAGGGTGGCCCCCTGGTTAGAATGCCAACAGTCTCACTACCCTCTTGGGACTAGACCCCTCTGGTTAGGGGTGTCAAAAATGGCCCTGGACTGGCAGAGGGGCTGGCATGGGGCAGCCTCCC